TTCCTGAGGTCCCCGGGGGCCTACTGTGGGTGATTCAACCTTCCATCATTTTAGGGTCATTTTAACCAGGAGTAGAAACTAAACCAATGGGCAAACAGATTGTTCTTTTCTTTTGTTGTTTTTGTTTGTTTATTTATTTATTTATTTTTTTGAGATAGGGCCTCACTATGTAGTTCAGCCTGGCCTTGAACTCACTATGTAGCTGGCCTCGACCTTAGCCTTCCAAGTGCTGGCACAGACTGTTCTCATCAAACTCACTATCATCAGCACTAGAACATTATGTTTTCCACAGCATTTTATGGAGCCCTCTTATTTTTTTTTTCCAGGTTATAAATATTTATAGTTCTCTCACCTACATACTTGTACAGTGTTGTCTGATATATTAATGAGCTTTAATATGCATCTGTGGAATTATTATTTGTATGGAATATAATGTGGATAAGGACAGAACCAAAGAAATAAATCCATCTGAAAATAGAGCGTATGTTTTGACAGCAGAGACTTTTCACTCCTTCCGTTCGGTTTTCCAAGGAATTCATCCACGGGGGCCCCATCAATCCAGTGCCCTCTTCCCCAGGCGGGATTCTCTTCCAGTTAGCTTCTTCCCAAGTAATTAGCTTGTTTTCAGCTTCTCCATCCAGAGACGGTCTTCGGATGCAGAACCAATCCAGAGACCGCTGCGTACATCTACACCCTATTTTTCTATCCTATTTTTCACTCACTTTTTTGTTTCTATTTCACTATATCTATATAGATACAGATATTTATTTGGGGGGCTACCTTGACTTGTCTGGGACAGGTGAAATAGAAGCTACTGAGTAGTCAGACATCTAAGCAAGAATTCTAAGACAGGAAAAAAAAAAAAAAAACCCTGTCAAAGACTAAAGTGGAAGGCATTTCAGGAACAGTAGGATATTCTTAAAAAAGAAAACTACCAGCAGGAAGAGTCCTGAGGAGGTCACTCAGGGACAGTTTGGGTACAATCTGCAGAAATCGGCACTGGCTGAGGACAGCCCCCCCAGATCTCAGAGATTCGTTCGGCTCAGCTAGGAAAGACAGCAGGGAAAGCACCAGACTGGCAGGCAAGAGCTGCCACTCACCCGAAGTAAAAGTGGCGAGAAAAGATGCCTCTTGAAATGTAAGTGTGGACCAAGGAAGAGCAGTACCCTGGTTGCGGTGGATGGTGGAGGCCCAGGGCAGGTCAGGCAGTGAGCATTTTGGCTTCGTGGGCAGCAGTGTGCCACCAACAGGACTCTGCTCTTGCAGTGTAAGGCAGCTACAGACAGTGTTCAGGGGAATAGGTGTGAAAGGGATCCAATAAAACTTTATTGGGACTCTTGGCATTCTCATATGGCATTAAATACCTTTTTTTTTCAATGATTTAAAAATATTAACAACCCCCTCCACTAGTAGGTAATAGCACAGGCTATGGGTGGGGGTCCTGGTAGTGGGCTCCTCTAGGGGAGGCCATTCAAACTCTCAGGAGAAGAATAGCACAGTTACACAGGACTTGAAGAGCAAGACAGCGTCGGGACGGCTGGGTTTGCAGGGCCAGCAGAATGTAAGAGGAAGCTGCAGTCGAGGATCATGGAGCAACCCTGAGTGAACAGGGATTCAAGGGACCGAACGGCAGGAAATAAATTATATTTTCAGAAAAGGGACAATAAGAAAATGATCGATCTGTGGTCTGGAAGTGATTTCCAGTAAAATTCCACAGTGTATTATGAGCCAGGCATGGGTGATCATTAGGGGCAGCGGGGTTTACCAAGAACATGCCACATTAACACCAGGTCTGTATTTTTCTTATTACAAAAGCAACACATGCTATTATAGAAAAATGAGAAATGGCAAGGAAGCCAAAGAAGAAAACAGGATTGGAAAGTCCAGGGTGAGCCACTGCAAACACCTTGGTATGGGCCTTTTCAGACTTTTCTTGTTTGTCACTATTTTTTCCCCACCTACCAATATTCATATGTGTCTTTCTATCTGAATCATTGCTTTTTGGGACAGCTGAGAAGTCAAGGCCACTGGATGGATATTTCATAATTTAACCATTTACTTTCTTTTGAGCATTTAAGATATATCCACACCTACCCTCTGGTTTTGAAGTATTGTTTTGAAAAAGCAACAGCATTCATCCTTTGACAAGTCTTTTTGCACACCTGTAAGTACTTGCTAGAAGAGACCCCCTAGAAGAGGACATGTAAGAATCAAAGGTTTGCCTTGTGGCCATTCTGACTAGGGTACAAGATTTTAATCCTCAGTCAGGATTTTAGCATCGAGCCAGTGAAAATTTCTTACTCTGACTCCATGGGCAAGAAAGAAGTATCTACTGGACCATGTAGGACAGCTGGGAAATTTACCCAGTGGAATGCAGAGTACCCCAAATGGTGGGTAGATACGAATATAGAGGAAGGCAGAGCCCAGCTTGCCAAGGGAAGATCTCAAGGAAATGGCTTTGGCTGGTTGGAGGTGGTCGCCCCAGACACTGGGAGCATTCAAGTGGCAAATCAGGGTGACCACCTACCCCAAGGATGCTACGGGGAATTCCTGTGCAAGGGAGATGCTAGGCTAAATGCTCTCCTGCCTTCCCTAGCCCTTTCATTCCCACCTCTGTATGCCAGGGGTTAGAGCTGCATACTGTTCCCGCTGGCGCATCTGGCACCTCTGAGCGGTGGCTCTCCCTTTGTAGGTGTGGTGGGGGTGAACTGTCATCGTGCAATGCCCAGGAAAAGAGGTCCACTAACTGGCATGCCACTGAGCAAACAGTTAAAAGCACATGACCATACACATACACTGAATACAGGCAGTTTTTCACATCTCTAATGACATTGTTTTAAAACATATTTATTTTAGGAAGGATCCACGAACTAAGGGAGCAGGAAGGAACCAGGGGGTCTTTAGCATTTGTACCAGGGGCTTAGTGCAAGAATATGTATCAAAAAAGTGCCAGTGTTGGTTCAGAAGAAACACTTTGATGATTCATTTCATTATCAGTAGAACTCCAGCTATGAAGTGTGGACCCTGAGCAGGGCCGGGTCCTTGGGCACACTCTGCCTTCACTATTTTTGAAATCAACCGTTGGAAACCCTAACTTCACAGCACCTCACTGAGCTGTGCCACTTGGTGCCAAGTACTGTTTACGTGGGGTGAGAGTGTGGTCTCTGCTCCTGCCTAGCCAGAAGGACGTGCGGGCAGGCTGCCAGCAGTGGGGGTGCAGGGGTGGGCAGGCTTCCCAGTCGTGCCCTTGCTGCCCAGTGCTGAGCTTGCACGCCTTACGGAGCCAGTGGGTCCTGTGGGGTTCTTGCTGGAGGTATCACAACTAAACAGTCTCGGACCCTGGAAGAGCAACTTAGTGTCAGCAGCTGCTGAGGAGGCCTGAGCTGCCTGTGCTGTGGGCTGGAGCCTTGCTGCTTCTGGAAGACAAAACCCCACCGGCTGCCACTTCCATAAATGTAACAGGAAGTTTCTGAACAGCTTCCCCTGTGTCTTGAGGCTGTTACCGTGGTATTGCTAAACTAGCATCTGAAATGAACCCAGACAACACCTCATCAAAGCTTCGGAGTGAGGAAGCAGAGGTCCACAGGCAGACAGCCACATTCCTGCCAGACTAAAGATTTTTTTCGCTGTGGTCCCTTCACTGCAGAAACGCCACAGCTGGGAAAGCCATCAGAGACTACAGGGACGGTGGGTGTAGCCTGACACTGTGCTGGAAAGAGATTTGCAAGCTGCAGAAGAAAAGTCGTCTGTTTGATGGAGCTGTCCTTGTGTGTATTCTGACCAGGGCTGCCCGGCTGGATTTCACGGGCCTGTTACTTGCCACACTGCCACTAAGCATCTGGGGAAATATTCAGCTTTTCTACAAAATAGGTCATCTTTCCACACTTGTTATGCTCTCTGTCGACTCTGCTGAAATAGCCACGGCACAAAAGAAATTCTCCCTGGAGATGCTTTTCTTAGACAAACATGCTTCCTTTCCCCTCGGCTCCTGGAGCTGAGCCAGGGATGGGGGCTTAAGAACATCCTTGTTCCTCCCCTTCCCAGCAGGAATGTCGCCCAGAAACGGAACAACTGGCTTTTGCTTATACTTCCAAACCTATTAGGGAGTGATCATAACGAGAGAAACTAATACTGACAAGAATTATGCCATTGTTCTATTTCATCTATTTAGTAACCTGAAGTTGCAATTTTTAGAAAAAAGATTACCTTTTAAATAACCGATTCATTATGGTACATGAATGAATGCCATGTTCCTGTGTTCAGAATGTCACTCACCATTAAGGGTGTGTGCTGGTAAGTGGCACCGATTTGCCACTTCCCCCGTATACACACAAATGCCCCTGCCTGGCGGCCCAGGATAATCAGAGGCGAGTTTATGGGTTTCCCCAGCTCTTAGCAAGTCACCTGTGCTGCCAAGCACCTAATGAATCTCAATTCCGTAATAAGGCTGCTAAGTTTTCCCCTCCCTGGGCGAAGGTGAAAGGGAAACGAGGGCTGATGAAGTTCCTGCCAAGGTAACACTATCAATTTCAAGGCCAAGTTCAGAAATCACGGACTCATACTCCAGGTATGCGAGGGGGAGACCACAGCATGCCCTCTGGCCACAGCCTGGCTATGAGAAAGGAGAGGTGAGGACAAGCTCCGATCCAGGAGGGCGAGTTGCCTGGCTGAGCTTGGTGCTGCTCTGGGTTCCCGAGGGAGACCTGCCCCTGGTCTGGCAGGTAAGCGATGTGGTGAGTATTCTCTGGAAACCTCCCTTCAAGCCTGAGAAATCTACACCTTATTTTTCATCATTAGTTTCAAAACATGCCAAGTATTTGGCCTTTCTCCACATCCTGCAGGGACACGAAGGAGAGGGAAAGCCTGGTTCCTGTAGAGATGGGACCGGGTCTCCTCAGGGAGAAAGGGAGGTGAGACAGACAGGTGTCACTAGCAGACGGCATGGAGGAGGTGGCACCAACACAGAGCCACAGCTGGACCACAGCAGCGGCCCCGCATACCTGATATGGCATACAGATTGGAGTGCTGGTACTCGTAGTCCGTCCGGGTGCTGTTCCTGCCTCGGAAGGTGGCGGGGAGTGTCAGGGAGATGTGCCTGGGGAAGAGACAGAGCAGAGAAAGGTGGTTACAAGAAACAAGAAGCATCTCCCAAGGCTCAGAAGACACCTGACACCATCAAGGGCCAAACTGCAGCACAGAGCGCAGAGCGGAGCTCCTGGTCAACCTCCACCTTCACTTCCCCACCAGCCTCAGGTCCTCCTAGGAATCCAGAAGCCTCCGGACATCAGCAGCCACCTTCTTCCATAATGGAGAGGAATCCAAGAAGAGGAATGGGTTGCCCAAGCCTCCTAACATCTCCAAGTGTGGACTCAGCCTCACCCCCTCGGCAATGTGCATTGACAGGACCAAATCCCAGGCTCCAAGCTCGAGCCTTGACTTGTTCCATTACCCATCTAATGGCTCCCATGTCTTCTGCAGGATGACAAAGGTCACAGCACAGGAACCACTTGGGAAATGGAGGTGTTGGGTATTACTAGCAGGTGAGCCCAAGTCACTAATGACTTCTGTAAATCAGGATGGCACAGTACAGAGCTCTGACCTGCTGTGTCTGTGTGTCCCCCTTTGAGCAGAGCACGCAGTAGGTGCTCAGGAAAGCACCTTCAATGGGTCTAAGTACTGTCTTTTATGGCTTAGAATTTGGCCATGAAAAATATGTCATGAGCACACAGGATGAGTATTTAGTCCACACTAAAGAATCTACTAGGTGTGGCCACCAGCTGCCTTTAGTATATGGGGAAAATAATAATGATAATAATAGGAAAAATACACAAAACCTAAACCTCTTGGAGGGGTTACTGGTGGGAGTAGCTGGGAGTAGCTCAGTAGCAATGCTATGGCCACCCCTGGTCATTTCCAGAAGGGAAGAGAGGGAAGGGAGCTGTATGACACAAGAAAAGCTGTCAGTGACATGGTGCCTTTTTCACATGACAAATGTGTGACCTTGTGGGACACCTGTTGTGTCTAAGGACTGTAGGGAGGAAAGAGCTCAGGCAGGGTTGTGTAGACAGGGCCAGGATTGAGCCCCATAGGCAGGAGCCTCACGGGGGCAAGATGAGCATGGAGGGCCTCATTGGTGGGGGCAACTGTGCCATGGGCCTGAGGGCTGCGCTGAGCAGAGGCTCTAGAGTGCTGATCATGTGCCCGGGCTGCAAGGACCAGCAGACACCTGCACACAGAGCTCCGTCACCCCCAGGCACTTGGGGGCATGGAGGAAGGGGCACTGTCTGGGTGTCACTGATGCTGTCTACAAAGACTGCAGTGGCTCCTCAGGAGCCCCGGGGCTGCGGGACAAACTGCTGTGCAATGTGACAGGTGCTAGGAGCAAAGGGAAACCTGGGTGCGGGTGAGCATGGAAAGCGGGGACAGCTCATTCCGGGCCGGGGGGGCAAGGGCTTTCTGACACCTCACATGAAGAAGGGTGGCAGAAACCCGCCAGGGAGTTGCACCAATGCTGCGGTGCAGATTTAGGGCCCCACGGCCCAGTCATGTTCAAAAGCCCCACCTTGGAAGACATGAGGCTTTGGGGGACAGTTTAGATCCACAACGCTGTCCTACTCATCGTGGCAGAAACAAGGCACTGGTACTCAGGGATCACTGACAACACGGACACGTGGCTGGACCTGGCTGGCCTGCTAGGGAGCAGCCGGACAGCTACATGTCACAGGCTCTAAGGCAGCTCTAAGGACGGCTAGGTGGGAGCCTGAGAGGGTCAGGACCACCGCAGGGGTTTCGAGCTGCTGTCTGACGCCTCTGACTGCAGCACTCCACCCATGGAGCTGAGCAAACAGAGGAACGAATGATGAGGGCCTGTGGTTCTGGCTGAGCAGAACTGGAATGATGACAGGTGACCCTGCAGAGAGTGTGGCCAGGTGGCAGGCCTGAGGGTCCGGGACGGCGTGCAGTCTGCAAGGCTCCTCATGATGGCCCTGTGGGCTGGGGTCAGAGCGGCTGCTCAGTGCACAAGGCCTGATGCAAGACGAGAACACTGGGCGGAATTTCAAGATGCCAGCGGCAGGTTGTTAACCTCACACAGGGCCCTTGTGAGTGACAGAAGCTCACGTCCTGACGCTGGCCTGTGGCAGCAACCGCCATGCTCTCCACCATACCAGTGAGGAACTTCCAGCGCTGGGAAGAGCTGTGCTTCAGGGCTGCCAGATGCTAAGGCAGAAACAGGGCCAGCCCAGCCAGAGTCAAACACACATGGACACAGGTCTGCGGGGACTTGACAGGACATGAGGACGTCCACGAAATCACACTGAGTGTGAGGTCACGTGGAAGCAGCATGCCGTCACTGCTGGGCGGGCAGGGCGGGCAGAGCTCTCAGGAAGGCTGAGGCAGGAAACCGAGGACAGCAGGGGAGTCCATGGCATGCAGGGAGGACTGGCGCGCACCCTGGGCTCTGCGGACATCTCTTGGAGATTTGGGGAAAATTCTATAGCACCAGGGACTTAAACAGGGATGTCTGAGAACTACAGAAATCAGACAGCCTGGCTCTTTAGCTGCCCCAGCCAACAAGGAATTCTTCCTAGTTTCAACTTTCTTGGCTCTCCTGAATTACTGCACATTTGCGGACCAAATGAGTGGGTGAACATTTTCAGCCACTCAAACCGCAGGGTTTGTTTGTAGCATGAGCTGCTGCAAAGTCTCTGCGCTGTATCTGCCCAAGTGGACTCAAGAATCTTTGTATTTTTCAAAGTCCCACCCTTTTCCACTATGGAGGGAAACAGGTGTGGTGTACAAAGAGGTCAATGGCAGCCAGTGGCGGCAACCACCGATTTACAAGAGGAGGAAAAAAAGAAAGCTGTCTGTATACAATGGACACCGTATAGTTGACGCAGGCCATGTAAATAAGAGATGATGGTCTCTGGCCTGACTATGTCTTTCACAGAGCAGCTGCCCATCAGGAATCTGCTGAACGGAAATCAAGTTACCAGAAGCCCAAGCTCCAGTGGCTGAGGCAAGGGTGGGTACAGGACAGGCTTCAGAGCAGCTGGGGGGTGATGGGGGGCCAAGATAGTTTTAGGGGATATTACGGTTGATTCATTGTGTCAACTTAAGGAGTCTAGGAGCTTGGCTAGGTGACCCAGCAGTTCTATATTCTGGGGTGAAAAGGACATGCCCTTCCTGCTCTAGGATGTTGTTCACTGTGTCAACTTGAGAAGTTTAGAAGGTTAACTATGTGACTCAGCAGGGAGCCAGGGTCCTTACTTTGTATTCACCCCGAGCCTGTGCAAGAGGAGGGCACCGAGAATGTGTGGGTGTGGACTGACAGCCATAGACACTAGAAGGAGGGAAAAGAGGCTTGCTCCTTTCCCGTTTTGCTCTTGTTGCTTTTGCTGTTTACAGTCGCCATGAACTGTTGCCCTCTGCCTTGGAGCCAGCCAAGTATGGACTGAAACCTCCACAAACTGTGAGCTACATAAACCTTTCCTTCCTTAATTCTGAGCACTGGGTATTTTGTCTCAGCAATGAGGGAAAAAGAACCAAGACAGGGGAGAATGGTTCTTCCTCACTCTGCAGTTAGCTTTTTTCCTTTTGTCCTCTCCCTGGACAGAGGAAGCACGGATGTGAGGACATCAGGGTGAAAAGGCCCACTGGGGCCGACTGTTACTGAGGATGAAGAGTCCCATTCTCCTCTGAAACAGGACAGAAAGGCCACCTGCTGCAGGAGCAGTGACACAGGGAGGCTCCAGCGTTGGGTCGGCCTGGAAGGGACAGCAGAGGAGGGAAGAGGGGCTCTGTGATTGGCTGGGTTCAGGGCACCATGCAATGCATTTCCTGTATCAGGTGGGCCTATCTGCCAGGGCCTGGGCTGGCTCTTACACATACATCACCTGCCTTAACCCTCTTGACAGTCTTTCTAGATAGGAGCAATAACTCTTGCTTAACATAGCAAGAAATTGAGGCTCTCAGAGGCAAAGTTGGTAAGAGGGCTGGGAATTCAAGGAAAGTTTGGTCCATGTGTCCTCTGGAGACTATTATTATTATTATTATGGTTCTAAAGTCACCCTGATGTGTCACCTTGCCTCTCAGGTATGGAGAATGAGGTCCCCCTCCACCAGGGCTGCAGGGTCCACCTTGAAGACCCACTTGGAGCTGATGACGCTCCAAGTGTGTGGGGGGACTCAACCCCTGTGCCACTTCCTGGCCCTACACAGAGATGGCTCCCAAGGGAGGCGGAGCAATTGCAGGGGCCAGCCACTGGATGTAGCTTTGAGTCCCAGCACAGCACCTAGGACTGGGTGGCCTTTGGCAGGGCTGTCACCTCCTGGCACACACCTGGCTAGAACCAGGCATGTGGTGACCACGGACTCGTATTCTAACTTCAATTCCTATTTTGATTCTTCCCAACTCGCCAGCCTTCGCCTTATTCCAGAGTCCAGCTCATGAGGGCCCAAGGGTAGGATGGTTACAAAACCCACTGGGGACTTCTTTTTGCATTCGAACAAGATCAAAGGGAGGTCCTGCCAGTTCAATCTCTTCCTCCTCGCTGAAGGCATCTGCTGCTCTCATATCTGCCCACCTCAGCTGAGGATTTTTGTCCCCTCACTCCTGCCTTGGGGTCTTTGCACTTCCTGTTCCCTCTGCCTGAAACACCCTCTGCTGGCCTTCAGAACTTCGCTCCTCTTTCTGGGTCCCTTAGAGACACCTTCCCTGATGCCCCTTTGGAGGAGATACCCCACCTCCGGCCACTCTCTCGTGACTCCCACCTTGCCCCCTGCACAGCCCTTCCCTCTCTACGTGGCTGTCTGGTTTGTTTCTGCGTCACTGGGACATGCCTCTGCCCCTCTCTCTATCTCCAGGGCGAAGGACAGTGCATGACGTAGCTGGCACTCACAGTGTTGGGGATAACCCTGTAACATTACCTGGTGCTTGCTGAATGAATGAATGAATCCGCCTCTGACTGTAATTAGAGATAACTTTGGGTATCTTCCAGGAAGCCTTCCCACTTGTCTCCTTCTCATTCCCAGGACTGGCTGGTTAATGGTTTGGAAAATGCAACTATTTCTGATTCATGGACATTTTTACATAAAT